TCGTTTGTTTTTTTCAGTCTATTTTCCTCCCGGATTATTTTTTTTTTTGCTTTTTGCAGTTAATGTTAAGGTTTTTTTTTCCTGATTTAATTCATTTTTAGATGATGCATAAATACGCTGAACGTTGTTTTCCACGTGATCGTTTCCAGTGGGCGAAATGTGTATTCAAGTATGCGTATGATGGCTTAACACCGGATCATACTCAGCTTTTTGTCCTCCTTGCTGAGGTTAGTAAGTTCTTTCAGTTCATTCTAACATTTGATTATATTTATGTGATTTCTAAACATTTCAATAGTTCCATATCTTTTCTAATTTATCACGATCGATAGTAGTGATAGGATAATTTTAGACATATTCTTCTTTAGTGCTTGATTTTGAAAGAAAGTTGATTGCTTAAGTTTATCATCAAAATTTATTTGCAAATTCGAAGAAAATCAAATATTTAAACTTTAATATCCCAAATTCATAATGTCTGAAATTTTTGGGCATTATCTGCATTTGATAATTTCAATAATAAATGCTACGTACATCGTGAGACACTGTTATTTTTATTATTCCTTTGGGTTAGATTATCCTATTGTCGCATGTCATCAAGTCGTATTGTTTGACCGATTAATGACTGCATGATATATGTAACGATGACCGATAGTCATATGCTACTATGGTACTGTTGTAGAGTCATGAATATCTAATATAAAATATGGGAGAGGAAGATATGTTGACATGCATGATTTTATGATGTCACCGCCGAAAGGTCACATTCTTTGATAGCTTTTATGGCGGTATATCGCATGATTTTTCGGAAAACGCATATTTAAGGATTGATAATAATAATAGTAATGTGAAGTAGGATTGAGATTGATTTGGATGGTTATGAGCAACAGCAGAAATGACACAAATTATTATTATGAGCAATCGCTATTTCATATGCTCAATTACCTTAAATATTGTCATAAAACAATTATCGACATATTCTTCTCCTCTCATATGACCGGGTTTTCCCAGAGGAATCGGAACAATAAAAAGGAAGGAAAAGATAGGAAATTATTGTAACGTTGTTACTGTTACTGAATTATTTTTCGTTTTAGATTTTAATTGAAGCCTTTGATTCATTATATTCAATTCGAAGAATATATTTGATAACTGTCTACATCATAAATCATTGAAATATTGAAAGAAAAAGTGAAACAAAAAAAAGAAAGGACCTCTAGTTTAATCATCAATTTAATCCCATTTTCATTTTCATCAAAGTAATTTGAATTACGGGATTACTGTAAGAATCAAAATAAAAAAGTGTGATTCGAATCATGAGATAAAGTAGAACCATGTCTAAGGTTCAATTTGTGTATTTTCTCGAAATCCTTTGATTAATATTTGTGACGATACGTTCCATTAAGCAACAAGCACAAACTAGGATATTTTTAAAATTTGCATAATTACGTGCAAGCATAATACATTTTATGCATTGTGGTAAAGTATAACTTATAAAAAAAAAAAATGCTTTGAAAGTAAGAAGAGGTGCGACATTCATGAAAAGAAAAAAACCATAAAGATTGTTATACATAAATGAATTTCTGGATACACAGATTGAAAATATAATCGAAAAATTAACTAATTAAAGTGTTTATAAATGGAAATTTAGAGTTTATCTTTTATTTTACCAAATGTTGGTATACTTTAAACAATTCAATAAAAGTAAAATGGTGACGATAAAATTAAAGTGATGTATGTAAATGGTAAAAATCAGTAAATTATGAATGATAGACGAGAGTAATGGAAGAGAAGAAAGCTTGATAACTTTAGTGATAAAATTAAAAGAATTAAATTCTATTTGATTACATATGAAAGTACATTGTAGATTTGTATTGTTATTAACATATATAATATATATTATAATGTATTTACAGATGTTGGAAAGAAGTGTAACATCATTGCATACGTATATACTTTCATGCTTATATTTATTAGCTGGTAATGTTGATTTATCACAATGTTCACCATTATCACTAAATGCTCAGGTAATTTTCCTTTTTTATTTCGATTATTACATATATGTTTTATGAATGCGTACCTGTACGCATCTATTTACATTTTTTTTTTTTTTTTTGTATTTGAAATAGAAAGTATTGGTTGAACAGAGTGAATGATATGATTTTATAATAATATATGAAAAAATGTTATTTGAATTGGAAACTTCATGATTACTTCATCACAGAAATCTTTATAATAGAGAAACAGTGATTGATTAAAATAAAAATGATGTGATAAAACAATTTTATCATTAGGAAATAATTTTTAAATTAATATATATATATATATATTTATGCGTAGTTGATATTTCCAAAATCCATAGCATTTGAAGTTATCCAGTCTAACCTATATAAATTAGAGAATCCAGTCTAACCTATATAAATTAGAGAAGCTTTTTTTTCCTTTTTTTTTTTTACAAAGCCGCTAATGTTCCGAAATTTATTCATTACGTCGTCTTTTTTTCTCCATCTTTTCCATAGTAATTTTGACTGCCGTGCTATATTCAGAAAAAAAAAAAGGTAAAATCAGATTTATGAGAAAAGGAAGAAAAAAAAAAACAATTCGAAATTGATTGAAAGCTAAGATTGCTAAATATTTTTTATTTCTGTGTGCAGTCACTGAAAGAAAAAAAAAATGTCACCGTAAAATGATAGGATTGTTTCCTTCAAATTAATTTAGATTTTATTTTTCAATCAAAAAGATTTTTTCTTTAATCTTAAACATTTTTGTGATATATTTGAATGATATAAAAATAATATTAAAATTTTTGCTACCATACAATTTTTTTTCCCTTTTTTGATAAAAAAATAATACATACCCTTAAATTATATTTTGTATTATTTCAAAAAATTTTCACTATCTTTGAATAAAAATTCATTTATCATTTAAACATTGAAAGATTGTTATCAGTTTAGTTCGTATCACAAAAGTGTACTATTATTGCCTATTGTTTCTACAAATAATTGTTGAATTTATAATGCACCTGTTAATATAATGCATTTTAATTTTATTTCCCTTCTTTTTCCCTTATTTTTCCACCATATGTTTCAATGATTTCAGTGATACATTGTTTGATTTGAGCCGCCATTAAAATAATCGTTTCCCTTTGAAAATTCATCTAAGGAAAATTTACCGATTAAAATCTATCCTTGAAAAATTTTTATATTATATATATATATATATGTGTGTGGTGTATGTTATGCGTGTGTGATTTTCGTCACCAATTAAAGATTTATCTTAAATACTTTTGCATACTTTTGAATTTAATGCTCTAAAACGACAGATTTTTAAAAGTTCCTTTTACAATAGTTCTCTTTGTCACCTTTTGTGCTTTTTGTTTGTCAACGCAAGACATAATTATCTGAAGGACATCTGTCAACAAGTGAATTACTTTATTTTATTCAAACAATTTATAAGAAAGGTTACATATTATGAAATATTAAAGTAAACGAAAGTTAAAGATTAATTTAGATATGCATATTATGCTAATTTAATTGACTAATTACTTTAGACGTATGTGTAAATGATTAGTTGATTGTATTTAGCTAATATGGTTACATATAATTTAGCCATTTATTTATAAAAATACAAAATGAAATATTGATCCGTTAGGATTATTCTGCCAATCAATATGGATGATTTTGAAAAAGAATAACTTTGATACAAGTAAAAGTTTACAAATAAAATAAAAGTTTAATAAAACTTTTAAAAAGTCTAAATTTTAAATTATTTTAAAACTTTGAATATATTTTCCCAATAATACATGTGTAGTTTCTTTTTTTGAACTTTTTTTTTATTTATCTGATACCGACAACAAATCTTGCATATTTCATCATTAATTTTCTAGAAAAAAGAATAGTCCTCCAAATTAGTCTATCCACTATTAAAAGAAATGAAAAGTTATTTTTTTTCTTGTTGGAAAATTTTTAAAAAATTCTTCAAAATTTAATTTTACCCTTTTTTCATTTGCATCCAATATTTGAAAATAATTCGAAATATTAAATGAATTTATATGATTATTCCCACGAATCTGTAATCATCTTCACTTTATTATTCCTTTCTCATTTCTTATTGCAATTAAAAACTAACAAAATCATCCATCGATCAAACGATCAACAATTTCTTATATTCCTTAAAATTTAATATCATTTTGATAGCCTATCAACTAACATATAATTGGTTTCTTTGGTAGCGCTTATTCATCCCGTTACCGTAAAATTATCTCTTTGAAATGTTATCTGCAATTTACTGGTAGAACTGAAATTACCCATTCTCCGTCTACATCTGTTAAGGTATCTCTTCAATCTTTCAATGATCTGTTTTCTGAATTGTTGTCAACGTTTTATATCACTCATAAAATCATCCAATTAATCTTTAAAATGCTATTTTATTATTACCAAATGCTGACATCCTCAAACCACTGATAGAATTAATTTAAAAAAAAAAAACGGAAGAAAATTACAATTTGAAAGCAAAAAAAAAAAAATTTAAAGCAATTTCATAATTCTTTTTTTGTGCTTTTTCAGGTTGTACGAATTGTATCGAAGCACCTACAGGTTATCACTTTTTTTTTTTCAATTTTACTTCTAAGTTAAGAAAAAGCTTTTGTTAATATATATACTTTTTTCTGCATTTCAAAATTATTTGTCTTTGGACGATGCTAGAACGGATTTTGTCATTCTTATTGTAATTTTAACTGAGCACTTAGGTTGAAACTTAGATTTAGCTAAAATTATATTGAAATTAAAATAAATCATTATTGCTATCAATTTGTATTCTTCTTTATAGCATTAACAAATGCGAATGATTAAAAAACAAATTAATTAACTTTAGGGTCCAAATTGGAAAGATGCTTCGAGAATTCTGAAATGTTTTGTGCAGTATGATAGTGTCGCTATTGATGGCCATATTTCAGTATGAATTATTTCCATTTACCTATTTTATTTCATTTTTTTTTATTTAAAAATTCTGATTCAGATGACCCTGACAAAAAATATTCATACCATTTACATATGTTTTTCTCATTTTTTTTTTTTACTCCTCAAAAAATCACTGTAATTATCGATGTAAGATTAGCAAAAGCTTTTGATCCTTTGCGCAATAATCTGAAGGATTTTAGGAGCAACATATATTTGAGGATCATCTGTGAGAATATAGAGAGATTGTTATGATTAGCTCTAGCTACATATTATAATGAGAAAAAAGAAATAGATTTTAATTGGGCCACGTTATGGGATTGATAAATATATGCTTCCAAGTATTTAATAGTTAAGTTATAATACTTTTAAATTTGGTAACTTACCAAGTTCAAATTTAATTATTGCAACTGAATTCAAAAAGAAGCTTCAGCTAAATTATGATATGATAATGTGTTAATTCAATTCAGTCTTTTCATTTTTCATTGTTAAGACTAAAATTTCTGATATGTGATGTGATATTTTAATTGTTATTCGGTGACTTTGCTTCAGCAAAATGAATATCTTTGTTTAATTTAGGATGGACCAGAATCCAATGGAGTTGCACGACCGGAAGGACTTCAGTTGGAAGTTCCGCTTCGTGGTTGCTTCATACCTTCATCGTCAACCGCACATAAAAGTACTCCAGAAACAGCATCATTGCGGAAACACACTACGTGTAATCAGGTTTAATTTTAAGAATTATATCATATTCTCAAGGATTCCCGAAACTTTGGTATTCATAGTTATTTATTAGCTATGTTCGAATTTCGAACTTTTTTTCTGAAACCTCAACTTGCAATTGAAGTATAATTAAATTTGAAGACAAAAGTACGAGAGCGTTTGATCAGTTTACTGAATGCTTCCGGACTTCGCGTTGGTTTGCCAAAAAGTGCTTCGATAATTTTCTCACAATCATTGCATGATATTTCCTATGAACCACCGAATTCAAATTCCACCTCAACAGAGCGAATCTCACCATCATATGTAGGTGATGGTGAATCAGCATCATCATTGGTTGTCGATCAATCTGTTACTAATTCTTTTCCCCGAGTATTCCGGTAATTCAACCTTTACAATTAGATTGGATTTCATTTACATTAGAAAAAATCTTGATATTTTTCTCTGCAAAAAGAAAATATCTAGCGTTTAATAATGCAATGAAATCATAACAGTTATTGTAGTGAGTTTGATTTCTTGGAAGCGGAACATGATACTGTATCGGAGTCAACGGAATCATGTTTTAATTGGCTTTCAACGATACGACCACATTCCATAAGTAAAGTTGCCATTGATGTCGAAGAGCAGTATCAGGATGATGAATGTACGGAAATTGCTGGTGATCAGCGCCCATCTTCAGCAGGTTAGCATTTGTAGATATAATTTCTTTTTCATTTTCGTAAACGACATTATTCATGAATTTTTGTAGATATAATTT